AGGGGTGGGTTGGGGGCGACCGCGGCGCCCCTGCTCGCGCGGATCCTCTGTTCCGTCAGAAAGCTGCGGTAATACTTGCTGTGCTCCATCAAAAAATGAAACGCAGCCTTGCGCCGATCGGTGGGCATACTCGCTTCGCAGACCAGGTCCTTCTTGAAGTACGCGCGCGAGAGGCCCACCTTCTTCCAGTTGAACTGGTGCGCAGCGCCATACCTCTCTTGCTGTACAGAGGTCCTCAAGACGACGATGCTCAGAGCACGACATTCGTCGAGGGTCATCTCGTGCATGCAGGGTCCAGTGCTGTGGTTCAGCGAAAACTGCCGAAACGAATATCGAGGCCAGGTGATACACTCCTTTGCCTCGTAGCCCGACTTCGTCGCCAAGGGGATCTTATGCAGCTCCGACGTCTTTGCAACCTTGAGGGCCTGCCCGTGGCTCTGCATGCGGCGGTTGAACTTCTCGAGAGAACTCTCTTTACCAGAACAGCAAGGGCAGCTGCCAACCACAGGCGTGTACATGCCTGGCTTATACCACCATCTCGAAGATATACCAACTTGGCCACAGGCGTGCACCACCGGGTCCTGCGGTACTTGCCGACGATACGCCGCCAGCATGTCTGGTTGTTCCGACGTGCCACGATCCTGATATACACGGTTCGAGAAATACTCGTCATTGCAGAAGAACGAACCGCAGGCCTCGCAAGCGGACCAACTCCCGTAGCACACCCAAAACGCAAAATCTGTCAGATTATACTGCTTCTTGCAGGTGGCTTGGATACTGGTGAGTAATGACATGGACCAAGACTGTCGCTGAAATACCTCCTGGCACTTTAACATGGCATACGCAGCAATAAGACAAGCGTCCGCCGCCATTTTCGGGAACTATGCAACCGTCAGCTGTCGCCACGCTGCAAGCTCTCGCATACCAGCCTTGCTCTTTGTCGGAGATACACGCGTGCGCAGTCCTCGGCAGCACCTGACCCAGGAAGGTCCTCTCGTAGGCCTCCACCACAGGACCTGGCAGCGCATCCTTGTATACGAAGGCGCCTGGATACTCGAGTGCCAACTTGGCATGCCGTTCGTGGTCGCCCAAAAATACCGATAGATTCTGCAAAAGCGCCAACTCTTCCGCCACGCCCAAGCGCTGACATAAAGATACACGCACAGCCTCCAAACCAGGTCTAGCCCGGGCGCGACAGCCAACCGCCCGGGTGTGGCCGAGCTTGCTATCCAGAGAAACCAAGGAATACAAGAACTCCCACTCCTGTTGCTCTAGGTGCTCGCTGGTCCAGTATTCGCCACGTTGCTCGCGATAGCGACGATGCGCTACGAGCCGCTGCGTGGTCCTGCAATCCACGAGATACTGCGCCAGTAACTGCTTTTTCACCTCCTCGGCCGAGACACCCTTCTGCAGCTGCTCCAGGACATACTCCCCGCATACGTGGCTGTGTATCTCCTCAGCATTCTCCAGTATTGCCAGCTGCTGGGAGGGCGCCTTCAGCCACTTCTCCAGGGACAACAAATTGGCAAATACCCCGGTCTCCGCGCGATACTTGTCCACCAGCGCTCGCCCCCTCAAGCCTTCTACGTGATGCCAGTACTGGAGGTCCCTGCGCGACAACGCGTAGACGGCGCAATTGCCATGTTTGGCACCGTCTCCGAGTCGATACTTGCCGAGCCACTCTCGCAAGGCATACTGACCCGCCTCATACCCCCAGGCCTTCAGACGCACCTGCATATTCTGGTAAGTGAGGCCAAGGCCCAAGTCGGAGACCTGCCCTCGATACCGATTGCCGCATGCCGCCTCTACAGCATCCCCCGTCAGCAGCTTTATACAAACCACATCTGTGGAGGAAGAAGCTGCCGTGGCCTGCTGCTTCGATGCGGGCTCCTCCCAGTCGACCGCGGCAGGCCGTTTTCAGCGCCCACCAAACGGGGGCCCCACAAACGGGTACTTTGGCCTGGGGCCCACCGCGCGCAACCCGCCAGCACGCGGGCACCAAAAAGGCTCACATCAGATCACCTCACTGGTGCGCCCGACACTGCATCCGCGAAGGCCCACATTTCAAGACGACGACCTCGCATGGGCCATCTCGGCGCTCGTTCACTCGTCGCAGGGGAGGGCCTGTGCATTTCGACTTCTGCGCGCGGGGAGCTGCAACGGATGGCTGCATATCCCCTAGAAGCTGCGTGGTGAACGCCATAGGCAGTGGCAGACCCCATGACGTCGCCGCCGCCACGCAACTTAAGCTGGGATCCATTCCGAAGGGCAGGGCGCTTTTTTGACGCTGGTAGGTCGGTCAAGCCGCGATGCGCGAAGCAGCGGCGCTGTTTCGAGCCACATGCCGCGCGTCGTGTGCGGCGGCTCTGCTTTCTGCCATTGGAGATTGCGCCGCTACCACTGAAGGCAAATTCGCAGGCGTCGGCGTGATTGCCACGCGGGCGGGCTCGACTAATCAAGCCGGTTTGTTCCAGCGCTTCACGCGTGGCGCCGTTGAACCGCCGTCGAAGCGACTGCGATGAAAAAAAAGGATCCTGCCTCGTGCGGTCCCCTTGTGCTCCTACAATCGTCATTCCGATTGCCCCCCCAGCCCCCCTCCCACTAAGATCCCACAAACCGCCCAAGACAACATGCTCAGAGATCTCGCTCGGTCGACGTCGGCTCGCTGGGACGAGCTGGCACTGACAAGGGCGCCACAACAGAAAACACAACAAGAGGGAAGAGGCGGCGGGCGCGGCGCGAGCGGACGGTCGAGGACACGAGACGCGCCAGGGGGGCGCAGGGAGGCGAAGGGGGAGGCGGGGGGATCAGAGGCAGCAAAGAAGGTGAATGGGGGAAATTCCATGCCAATGGCGCCCCCTGCGGCAGAACATATGTCATGCACTCGAGTTCGCTGAACGCATACCGCACTTCACACGCCAAGCGAAAATGCCCGCAGGATAGCAGAACATGTCCGCGATAGGCCCTGACGGTCGCGCACGAGCACCCTTCCACGCGTGAAGCCCCTGATCCCCGAGGCCCCTCGGCGATCGCTCCCAATTCCAATATCGCCCGCGCTCGGGCCACTGTCGGGGGTGGATGGCAATGAGCCACCAGGCTGGCGCGCCGATATCAGACCACGAGACAACCAATCCTGAATTGCATTGAAAACTCCCGCCTCCACGTTTGGCGCGCGGAGAGGACAGACAAGGGCGGGCGCGAGGCACGAGTGCAACGACGAGAGGGGAGGAGGGAAAGACGACGCAGCGCAAGGGGGGCGGTGGCAACAAGAGGGCAACCAAGTCGCGACAAGCGGAAGAGGGGGTCGCGGACGACGGCGGCGGCGCGGCATGCGAGGGGGAAGCGCGGAGAGGATGAGCTCGAAGCAAGGAGGTTGGAAGCAAGAGTCGGAAGCAATGGGACATGGAGAGCATGAGAGCACGGGGGAAGAGAAACCAGGGGGGCACCGAGGGCACGGAGTGGCAACCTGCTGAGGAGAAAGACGCGCGAATCCTCGCAGGATACGTCGCGCCCCGCAACTGCGGATAAGACTGACGGCGAGGGGGGAAAGGCGCAGCGCCCGTGATCCACCAGGGCCCCGCCGACGCTCGCGGCGCGCCCGTGCCCCATCGGCTTCTCATGGCATGACAGAAATGTCAAATCCCAAGCCCCCATCGGTCCACTTGGACCCTTCCCCGAGCCCTCGGATAGTCTCAAAACAGCCTCATGACGGTCCCAATCCCCCAAGCAGCTCCCAGAAGCAGTCACGCGAAGCCCGTCGTGTGACCAGTATCGAGGGCATCTTGGAGGCCTCTCGGGACCCTGTTCTAGTTTCTTGGAGGCTCTCGGAGCCTTCTAGAGGACCTTTTGGAGCCGCATGGAGACCCCAGGAAGGGCCCAAGAGGGCCCCACAAGACGACCCTAAAAACATGAAGAGGGCCACAAGAGGATCCCAAGCGAGCCCCCAGAGCCCCCGGACAGTTCCCACGAGACCCCAAGGAACCTCCAGAGGTCCAGTAGAGAAGCCAAAGAGGGCCCCAACGGATGCTACAAAGGGGGGGGTGCACTGTAGCGCCCGTAAGGCGCCCTCTAGGAACCTTCTTGGGACGGTCTCGGTGCCTTCTTGGAGCCCCTCAGATCGCTCCCGGAGCTCCGAGACGGCCCCCATCGGACGCCAAATGGACGCTGCGAGGAGCCCAAGAGGGTCCGAAGAGAGCCCCCAACGGATGCTACAACAGGGGGGTGCGTTGTAGCATCCGCTCGGGGCTTTCCTGGGGCCTTCTGGGGATCATGTTGGAGCGCCTTTCGGGCCATTGGGGCCGCCTCCGAAGCGCCGGCGCGGGCCACGGAGGGCCGCAACAGGGCCTCAAGAGGGCCCCAATGGGGAGTCCAAGAGGGCCCCGAACGGATGCTACAACAAGGAGGTGCATTGCAGCAGCGGTCGGGCGCGCGACCCTGCCTCCAGGTTGACGACGACAACGACGACGACGACGAGAACAACAAACAGAACCATCACCTTGGATCCCCAATGCATCCAGGCACCCAGGGGCGCCAGAAGACCGTTCGCCCCTCAGCTTCATATGAATAGCGTGCAAACAGATACACCAAATGTGACGTAACAGTTGCCCCCTCCCCCAGCATGTGTTTTCAAGATGGCGCGGATGGGCGCTCCGAGACGACCAGGAAATAACAGTGCATTCAGCCAGCCCCCTGCGCAAGCGTTGACGGAGCGTGGACGCGTTAAGCCGCGACGCCTACGAATGCAACCCCGACACTTCACGCTACGGTGCAATGATATTCTCCACAAGTGCTCATTATCACCCCATCCACCTCCTCCCGTTCCTCCTGGCTCGACCCCCTCCTCCGCATCCTCATGCACGCGCGTCTGCAACATTCATTGCAACGCGAGCACCTGCGACGTGCAGACGCTCCAACACAAGTGGCATCAACGGCATGATCGCCCGACCACCTCGTCGGATACCTGACGAAGCTGCAGCCCGTTCGTCACAGCATGCATCAGTTCAGGAAAAGTCGCGCGGGCACGCCTCCTTGGTCTTAGATTTGCGCTGCCTCCATGCCCACCTCAAGCAAGCTTTCATGCACAATGTCGAAGAAAACTTGCCAACCGTTTTATGGTGTGATCCTGGCACGGCCCCTGGGTAGAAGGCGACCCACTGCTTCCGTTTCTCGATGTAGTCTAGCCTGCATCCCTTCACATCAGGAAGCAGTTTCTTCCGCAAGGGTGCGAGAGCCTTGATTTTATCCCAATTGATGGCTAACTTCACTCCTGCCTTGCTCCCCGTTAGCTTCGCCACCTTGACGACTGGGGGCGCCTTGCCTCCCAGCGACTCCAGGAACTTGGAACCGCCTCTAAACGATTCGTCGAACGCCTCCTTGCGTTCGGCCTGCTCCGTGGCCCTCTTGCGCTCATCTGCGTAGTCCTTCTTCTCGCTCGGGCCCACAAGGGCGTCCAGCAAGTCAGCGTGATCTTTGGCGAGACTCTGAGGGCCTACCTGTTCCTTCCGGTTCTCTAGGTACGACGCGATGTCTTCCGACGAGGCCTTCGGAAGAATCTGCTTGATGACCCAGAGAACCTTTTCGATCGGCGTCTTCGGCAACTGCCGAGACACGGGGTCGCCAAAACCCTTCATCAACCGATTCAGATAACCATTCGGGAACCCTGCGAAACCGAGCTTTGCACACCTCACGTGGAGGGGCGCCTCGTCCGCACCCCCGAGCTGGACTTTGGAAGGGCCCCCGCTAAGCAGCGAAACTACTGGAGGCATCACATGCAAAGACAATGATACCCAAAGCTTGTAGTCCGTCAGGGTCTGCCAGGACGGTTTGTCCTCCATGCCGAGGCGCAGCTCCGCCCTGAAGCGGGTTGTGAGCTTGGTGCACTTGCACGGCCACCCGAAGAAGCCGAAGCGCGACCGCCTCAGCACCAGAGACCCATTCGCAGCCCCTTTCGGCATCACGACGCCCCCTGGGTTCGCAAGCAAAGCGTGCCATGCAGTGACAAGGTGGCCCCAGCTGTCCGACTCCGACGCCCTCAGGAGCAAGTTCCACGCAGCTGGGATGTAGTTCTTGCTCAGACCAGAGAAACTAGTCCAACCCTTGGATTGTTGAATGGCTGTCAAACGCTCTCGTGGTACAGATGGTTGGCCGGCCACGCCATCGTGGATGTTGGTCGGCAACGGCGAAGCCTCCGACTTGGGGCAGTCGCGGGGCCGAGTGTGCGGACGCCCGAACCGATCCATGAGGTCGCTCTCGGCCAAGGTGAACCACGAGGTCGCCGGGGCGAAAATGTGGTTCTCTGCCTGTTTCGCCCGAGCACGCAAATCACGGAACCCCAGCTCGTTCGCAAGGCTCGTCCCCCAGGCCTTAAACAGAGTTTCCAACAGGCCCTGGGCTGGAGGAGGCACCCACTTGAAGTCGAATTCGCTGAGCATGACGAGTAACTCTCTGATAACTTCCCACTTCATAAACGGTACAGATTTCCAGAGGTCCTGGGCCTCCTTGAACATCAACCTTTTCGCCTCGCAGTCACAAATAGCTTTCCATCAAGCTTTCGCTTGGGTCAAGAATGAAGCTTGCTGACCCCAGGCGCCAAGAGGCCTGCGAGCGCACCTGGCAAGGATGCGCAGTAGTGCTGGTGCGTTAGGCCGCGCCAACACACGATCGACTGGCAGGTCTTGAAAAACATGTGCGCGAGCTGCTCCTGGGTCTGGTATTCCTCACTCTCCCGGTTCTTTACCTCAGTCTTCTCCTCATCGGTCAATGGTGAAACCGCACAGCCGATGCAGCCCAGCGCGAGACCGTCTTCGAGCTTCTTCCACACCTGGATCAAGACCTCTTGGTACCCACCATTTGCGTAACATACATAGAACTGTTCGCAATCGGATGACGACCTGATCTTCTGGTATTCCGCTGCGTGCGCAGCCCACACAGGGTCCGAAGCCTGTTCCCAAACTCGCGCCCGAGTGTAGATTTCCGGGCTTGCAAGAACGCGAATCATTACTTCCAGTCCTGTTGGCGCCTCCGATCGCAACTCCTGCATGGCAGCGGACTGCTTGCCGACGATCTTGGTTTTAGGCTTACCCGCACTTCCTGAACCAGGAACTGCCCCTGAGGACGCTGCTGCCGCGGGTAGGGGCGATGGTGCCATGGCAGGCGCTGGGCCTCCAGCCGAACCAGACGACGACGAAGATGAACTCCCCGCGCCCGGAACGGCCACTGGACTCCCGCCCCCGCCGCAAGCAGCGGCGGGAAATGCATTCGGCGGCCTGCTCAACCCCAAGGCTGCTATCGCCTCCTTGGAGAGCGACCCCCCCTGCACGGCAATGACGGACAACGCCAGCAGCTTCGTGTGCCAGAACTGAAAAAAGTCCTTCATGGCCCAATGGTGCGAACCCCACCGCGTCCATTTCACATCTGTTGACATACGCTCAAAACATTTGACGAACTCCAGGCGGTTGAGCACCCGATCGATGTGTTCCTTCGACCCGTAGTCGGGCGGCATGTCGTTCAAATCTCTGCAGATTGGCTCAAATAAGCTGACCAACAATTCATCGTCTGAGGTGGCGTGCTTCGCGTACTGGGCCACGGCTTCCCGCGCTCTCTGGAAGTTGGCCTGTGACTTGAAGGGCCCACGGTCGTATCGAACTACTGCTGTAGTGTCAAGCACCATGGACCAATGGTTGCACTCAACCGCCGCTTCGTACATATCCCTCGGACACCTGTGAAGAACATCCATCCACGGGACGAAACGAAAACCCGTTTCGGGAAGAAACCAAAAAGCTGGCAGATCTCGGGGGCCCTCGTCGCCCAGAAGGGTGCAACAGCTCAACACTCCATCCTCCGGCAACTCGAAATCGAATCGTCTCTTCTTGGTCACCTGATGCTCAACGCAACTCCGAGTCTGTTCAATTTCCTTTGGCACTTCGAATGGGCACGGGGTTGTTCTCTTCACGTTGATCCGCGTCTCCTCGGCAGAAAGCAATGGCACCGATCCACGGGAGGCAAATACTTTGAAACCGCTGCCGACGAATTGCAAACTATGATCGAGGGCCTGCAATAAGTGCAACGCAGATGCTCTTGCATCTGATCCACTCGCTCTTTTTATCCGTACCTTGTCGGCCGCCTGTTTAAACTGGTGATGTGTCAACACGTTCTGAAGCTTCTGCCTCCACATCTGACGACCTTTGAGTTTAGTCAGCGCCATGCCTCGCACAATGGACTTCAACTCGGGCAATTCCTCAGGGGACCAGCAAACGTGTCTTCACACGATTCGCCTGCAAAGCAAAAACCTCCTGCTCCTGTCCTCCGTCCCTTGTCTCCGCACCCTTGAGCTCTAACCTTCCTCCATCCTCTCGGTTTCTTGAGCTCTCTCTGGGATATGTTGGAACCTTCTTGGCACCTCCTGGGACTATCCAGGCACCCTCGGGGGTCCGCATTCGGCTCGATCGGGAATATATGGGGGGGCTCAAAAAAACCTTCCAGGCAGCATGATGTTGCTGGCGCGAAAGCCCCAACGGTATCATGCCAGAGGAACGGGCATGGCACTGCTGGGGCCTAGACCCCAATGGCCCCCTGCGGCCTGGAAGGATCCCAAGACAGGCCCCGAAGGGCACCGGAGCCACAAGCGGACACCAGGAGGTTTCCAGGACCCCGCTTGGGTCCCGATGATTGGGCACTCTGCACCCTGCCTCTGCGGATAAGAGTGAGGGCGCGCGAGCGAGCACAGCGCTTGCCATCCATCCGCGCCCCGCCCGTCTCGCCGCCCGCTTGCGACCCATCGGCCCCCTGTGGCATTCAAGATGATGCACAACCCAGACCCCATCGACGCTCTTGAACTCTTCCCAGGGTCCTCGATGGGGGCTCAGGAGAGCCCCATGAAGGCTCTAGGCAACGCGCAGCCTTTGTCGTGTGACCAGTCTCGTGGCCCTCTTGTGGTGCCATTCGGAGCCCTTTTCAAGTTTCGCGGAGCCTTTTGGAGGTTTCTTCAGGCACTCTTGGCGCCGTTTGAAGGCCCTGGGCAAAGCCCAGGAGGGGCCCCAGACGGCTCCAAGAAGCTCGATGGAGGCTTCAGGATGCTCCCTAGAGGGCCCCGAGACTGGTCACGCGAGAGAGGCTTCGCGTGACCGCTCTTTGGGACCTCTGGGGGCCGCATTGAATTGTCTTGAAACCATCTCGGGGCGCTCTCAGGGCCCTCTTGGACTCCCCCGGGGACGCTCGGGGAGGGCAAACAGTGCGCCAAGACGGCCCGAAGGAACCTCCAAGAGCGGTCACGCGAAGCCTCCCTCGCGTGACCAGTCTCGTGGCCCTCTTGGGGGCCTGTCGGGACCCTCTTGGAGCTCTGTGACCTTGTTCGAGGCCCCCCTGGCGCCGTCTGCAGGCCCTGGGCAGGGCCTAAGAGAACAGAGCCCCATAACGGCTACAAGACGCTCGAAAAGGCGCCTAAGATGCTCCCAAGAGGGCTCCGAAACAGATACGCGAGAGACGGCACGCGTGACCGCTCTTGAGGGCCTGTTGGGGCGACGCTGGAGTGTTCTTGGGGTCCTCTGGGGGCGTTCTCGGTGCCCTCTAGAACTCTTACTAGGACCGGCAAGAGGGCCCAAAAAGGCCTCAAGGCGGCCCCAAGACGCCCCCCCTCATGAGCAGTCACGTTCAGCCTTCTACGAGATCAATCTCGGAGCCCTCTTGGGAACTTCCCGGTGCTGGAGCCTGTTTCGACTTCTCGGAGCCTTCTTGGGGCTCTCCTGGAGCCGTCTGAAGGCCCTGCAGGGCCCAAGAGGGCTCCACGACGGTTCCAAGAAGCTCGAAAAGGGAATAAAAATACACCCAAGAGAGCTCTGAGATCGGTGAAACGAGAGAGGCTTCGTGTGACCGTTCATGGGGCCCTGTTAAGGCCGTCTTGAAGCCCTCTTTGAAACCTCCCGCGGGCCCCGAGCGGATCTACATATCTGCCCTGCGTAAACATCCGGGCACTCATGAACCACATCGCAAGAACCCCCGCATCACCATACTTAATTCAAGCACGGGGGGTTGGCGTCACCACGCGGCGCCCGAACGGCTTGGGGCAAAACAGAGGAAGGCACAGAAAAGTTGCAATGCAACAAAACAAACACTAAAAAAAAATGCAATGTAACAAAAGGCCCTTTTCCGGCCACTTTCCTGCAAACGGCGCCTTTTTTTCTGCAACAAAAGGACTTTTTTCTGCAACAAACGGAAAAGTTGCATTGCAGCAAAAGAAAAGTTGCAACCAGCAAATAGCTGCAACGACAGAAGTGGTGCATCATTCGAGCATGCATATTGCATCACACATCTTCTTCCAGACGGGCCGAAGAAGGAAGGCGGGCCCCGCGAGGCCCCAAGAGGGCCCAGGAGGGCCCCAAGAGAGCCCCGAGTAGGACCCAAGGGCGCATGTCGTGCGCATGTCGTCGTCGCCCTGGGCCCCAGGGCCACGACATGCGCACGACATGCGCGTTAAGGGCTCTCTCGGGGCCCTCTGGGAGCGCTCCTGGGCCTCCCAGGCGGGCCCCGCAAGGCCCCGAGAGGGCCCAGGAGGGCCCCAAGAGAGCCCCGAGTAGGACCCAAGGGCGCATGTCGTGCGCATGTCGTCGTCGCCCTGGGCCCCCAAGGCCACGACATGCGCACGACATGCGCGTTAAGGGCCCTCTCGGGGCCCTCTGGGAGCGCTCCTGGGCCTCCCAGGCGGGCCCCGCAAGGCCCCAAGAGGGCCAAGGAGGGCTCCAAAAGAGCCCCAAGAAGGACCCGAGGGCGCATGTCGTGCGCATGTCGTCGTCGCCCTGGGCCCCAGGGCCACGACATGCGCACGACATGCGCGTTAAGGGCCCTCTCGGGGCCCTCTGGGAGCGCTCCTTTTTTTTGTTGTTGTTCTTCCCACGTCGACCACGGCGGCTGGATGCCTCGACAACTTCGCACGGCCACTGCCCCCGGACATGGAGGGAAGCCGGGCTGCGTGGGCAGCCGACCACCAAAGAATACGGAGATGCTATCAGGCACGTGGCAGGGACAGCGAAAGAGCACCCGAGACAATTATTGCCCGGGGGCCAGGGCGGAAATGTTACTTAAGACCGGGTTTTTTGAAGGCGGGCTCAGGGCGGAAATGTTACTTAAGACCGGGTTTTTCGAAGGCGGGCTCCTGGGAGCGCTCGACATGCGCACGACATGCGCGTTAAGGGCTCTCTCGGCCCTCTGGGAGCGCTCCTGGGCCTCCCAGGCGGGCCCCTTGAGAATTGGGCCTTCCAGAAGCTGTTTCTCCAACAAAGTAAGGGGTTGTTTTCCTGCCACTCCCAAGATAAAACCCTGGGCCCTTACCTTGTTTGAGAATTGGGCCTTCCAGAGGGTGATTATCAAACTAGGTAAGGGGCTGAGTTCCTAGCGCTCTCAAGCTAAAACCCGAGGCCCTTACCTTGTTTGAGAATTGGGCCTTCCAGAGGCTGTTCTTTTTTTTTTTTCAAACAAGGTAAGGGGCTGATTTCCTGGCGCTCCCAAGCTAAAACCCTAGACCTTTACCTTGTTTGAGAATAGGGCCTTCCAGAGGCTGATTTTCAAACAAGGTAAGGGGGTCATTTCCCGGCCCTCCCAAGCTAAAACCAGCGGCCCTTACCTTGCTTGAGAATTGGGCCTTCCAGAGGCTGATTCTCAAACTAGGTAAGGGGCTGATTCCCTGGTACCCCCAAGCTAAAACCCTAGGTAGGCCCTTACCTTGTTTGAGAATTGGGCCTTCCAAAGGGTGATTTCAAACAAGGTAAGGGGCTAATTTCCTGGCGCTCCCAAGCTAAAACCCGAGGCCCTTACCTTGTTTGAGAATTGGGCCTTCCAGATGCTGATGTTCAAACAAGGTAAGGGGCTGATTCCCTGGCGCTCCCAAGCTAAAACGCTAGGCCCTTTCCTTGTTTGAGAATTGGGCCTTCCAGAGGGTGATTCTCAAACTAGGTAAGGGGCTGATTTCCTGCCACTCCCAAGCTAAAACCCTAGGCCCTTACGTCCTTGGCAAATTCGGCCTGCCAGAGGGTGATTCTCAAACAAGGTAAGGGGCTGATTCCCTAGCCCTCTCAAGCTGAAGCCCTTCGCCCTTACCTTGATTGAGAATTGGGCCTTCCAGAGGCTGATTTTCAAACAAGGTAAGGGGCTGATTTCCTGGCGCTCCCAAGCCGAAAACCCTGCGCCCTTACCTTGTTTGAGAATTGGGCCTTCCAGAGGCCGATTTCAAACAAGGTAAGAGGGTGGTGCCTTGGCCCTCCCAAGCTAAAACCCTAGGCCTTTACCTTGTTTGAGAATTGGGCCTTCCAAAGGGTGATTTTCAAACGCGCTAAGGGGCTGACTTCCTAGCACTCCCAAGCTAAAACCCTAGGCCCTTACCTTGTTTGAGAATTGAGTCTTCCAGAGGCTGATTTTCAAACAAGATAAGGGGCTGGTTTCTTGGCACTCCGAAGCAAAAAACCGAGGCCCTTACCTTGTTTGAGGCTTGGGCTTTCCAGAGGGTGATTCTCAAACTAAGTAAAAGGGCTGGTTTCCTGGCTTCCACGGTTACATCCTAGGCCTTGGCCTCCCTTGAGAGAATTGGACCTTCCAGATGCTGATTTTCAAACAAGATAAGGGGCTGGTTTCTTGGCACTCCCAGGCCACGAGATTGGCAGAGGACGCGACGGACCACGCTGGCCGCATCTGGCGTCAACGAGGCTTCTGGATACCATACCGTGAGACGTGCCTGAACGTGCCCTGGCTCCTCGAGCCGATCCCTGGGGCAATGCACATCTCCAACATGAACTGGATGCATGGCGACCCCACGCGAGAAAGCTGCAAACATTTCCACCGAGGGAGGCATCTTGGGAACGTTGGGAACCCCTGGGGCGATTGGTTGTCTACGAGGGACGCGGGGCGGCATGTAGAGGCCCTCCTTGGAGGCTCTCGAAATCGAACCCCACGACCAAGCCCCGAGAGATTCTGCGACGTGCACGTGCCTCCGCTGGTCACGCCGCAGGCTAGAACACATGGTAAAACGCGCAAGCGCCCCAGACAACTGATCAGATAAAACAAACTTGCTGCGTGGCAGCATCTTACCTCAAACCTCTTCTCGATGAGAAATCACGGCGTTTCCTGAGCGAACGGCGCATCGCCTCGAGCGGCCCCAGGCATGCTCTGACAAACTCGTCGCCCCGAAAAGCACTCCCCATCCCAGCCCATGGTCGGTGAACTCGGTAGCTGGATGGGCCCCCGTCGCCCATGTGAGCCACTGAAACGCCCGATTGCAAACGTACTCGCGCGACGCGCATTGAATGAACATCGCCCCACCTCCCCCTCCTCCCTTCCCCCCTCCTCTGGTTCCTCCGTGCCCGAAGTCCCCCTCATCGCACGTGTCATGTCCCCTCCTTCTCCTCCTCATTCCCCTTCTCCGCCATCTCGTCCTCCTCCTCCTCCTTCTCCTTCTCCTTCTCCGTCTCCGCCATCTCCTCCCCCTTTTGGTTTGTCCTGGGCGGGCAGGCAGCACGAGAAAGGCACCGCCTCGGCGTGGATGAACACAGTGAGCAACTCACGACCAGACACACCAGAACAATCCACAATTGCTGAGATCTGTTTCTGGCCGTCCATAATATGCGCCGAATGGGCCAAGTAGTTCGCCATGTTGATGGCCTCCGCCCTGGCCGCGGATGCCCCTCTGACCTCGCCAACCTTCAGAGCAACTGACCGCGCAGCGCTGTCCCGCACGACACCGAGGGACGGGTCAACCACCATGGCGCTGTTCTATCGGCGGAGCCGTTTGTCGGCCTGCAACACGTGCAAGCCGTCTGCGGTGTCGGAAACCTGGGCGGAGTCCACTACAAATGCTTCGAGAAGTTCCGCAACTTGCCAGAAGACCTGGGATTTCCACGCCTCCACCGCCGGGCACTCGAAACGACTGGCGCGCCACAAGAAGTCAGCCGCCCGAGTAGTGCGCCACTCGGCCCCGAACGACTCGAACATGGATGCTTTGATCTTCGCCATGTGGATGCAATCGCCGTCGCCTCGAGCCCTGCACCTAGGGAGATCCTGGCCACCGCCCACCAGAACGGGCGGCGCAATCGCCAACCCCCGGCACACCAAGCGCAACAGTTCCAGCGCATTCGTCTTGATGAGAACCTTAGGGGAAGCCGATTGGAACAGCAAGAAAGCCAATGCGTAAGCGCTGGATGCCATCATCTCGCAGTGATGTTGCTGCGTGAGCACGTCCGCGTCGGCTTCGACGCCAAGCTTGTCGCAGGCAGACAGGTGTTGTTTCTGGGAAGGAATGAACTCATCCAAGGGGGCGTCGTAGTCGTCTAAGTACTCCTGAAGACGGACTCGGTGGCGTCGCAACCAATCATCTAGTTCCACCCCCTTGAAACCTAAACGGTAATAGAACTCTTTCAACACCCAGAACACATCAACTTCGTTGGGCCCCCGAGTATCCGGCAGAATAGCCACAGGGCAGTGGAAGCACAGCCCCTGCACGCCGTCCCCCAAGCGCGCGAACCTGAACTTCGCGCCAGCAAAGCCAACGCCCCCGCGGTCCACGTGCGCGGGCGGCTCACGCGGAGGAGCCCCGCCCGCGGGGTGAGGCGCGAGAAGATCTGGGCCGAGCATGTCAGAGTGACCGCCCTGCAAGAACGATTCGGCTAGAATGGCTGCGGCATGGCGCCTTGCCCCTCGCAAACCTGATGCGTTCCTGCCCCGCTCGTTTGGCGCGGATATGTTGGCCAAAGCCGTCAGCAGACACAACGCCGAAAACCGATGCAAGAATGCAACAGAATGGAATGGGGACCCAACTTTCGAAAACGCAACGCCGACGCCTGCACCCCGCCCCCGTGGCGCGAACGACAGCGGGACCAGACCTGGCCTGGGGCCTTGCGCAGACGGCGACAGCAACGATGGTCGACCGCATGGCAAAGCAATATCTCGCAACGATGCCCCCACATATGCACTCCAACTGCTAGAAAAGATCGTTCGAGACAGGTCAATGCGAACCCAACCCCTGCCCAAGAAATACGGAACATGAAAAAACACAAGTGTTGCGCAATTGTGCTTTCCTCGCCATCGCCCTCGGCTGGATGGCGGCGTCTGGCAAACGCCGCGCGAAACGGCAAACCTTCCTCCGAACCCGGAGGAATGTCGGGAACTGGTACGGCAGCAGGAATAGAGAAGGCCCTCAACACCAGGATGCAAGGGGTCCTTGGCGTCGGGGCGCGAATCCTTCGCGTCGCCCCTGCGCCTCGAGATGTGCCTACATATGGACACATGGGTACACTGTCAGGGCTGAAAACGCATGCCAGCCGCGCTGCCTGGCTGGCGCCGCCCAGGGCGCCCCGTGCCATGACCTCACTCGGCCCCGATGCTGCACTCAACTCGGCGAACGGTGGCGCCGAGCGCGACCTCCCCCGCAGCCCCGCTCTCAGGCAGCTGCAGCGGGTGCTGACGGCGCCGCCCCCGCAGCAGGCTGGACTGCGGAAGCAGAGGCGGCGGGCGAGGCCGTCTCCTCTGCGGCCGTGGCGGAGCCACCCACCCCGCCGCTCGAATTCTGCGCTTCGCCCTTGACCATCTTCCGGATGCCGAGGGACGTGGCCTTCTTCTTGCAGGCCTTCTGCTTGGCCATCTTTTCGGCGTCCTGCGCACTCACCCTTTCGCCATGGGTGGCGCCCATCTCATCGGACAAACGGCGGCCCAGCTTGCGACGGGCGATCTTAGCAAAGAGGGCCTTGATGTCGTAGTCCCCCGTAGGCGAATGCACCACCGGACACGTAAGCGACCAGTGTTGCTGCAGCGTGAACGGGCCCGTGTCACCATTCAAGACGTCGTCGGCGAGATACTGCAAGATGGGCCTGGCGTTGGCCGATTCCTGGTAGGTGATTGGCAGCTTCTTCTCCTCTGCATCGAAGGCCCCAAGCTTCAGCGGCGAGCAAGAATCCCAGTTGACCTCCCCCGTGGACATGTCCACCTCCATGTCTTGCAGGCGTTTGCCGAGTTTCTCGTAGACAGCAGCTAGACTCCTGAAGAGCTCTTTCTTGTTCTTGGAACCGACCCGATCCTTCTCGTCACCGAAGATTTTTATGTCCAGGGAGCGTTCCATGCATTGCTTCAATGCGTCAGGGGACATCTTGCGAACGATCTGGATGTCAATGTCGAGGTCGCAGTACAGCAAACACTCGCGGGGCAGTGACTGGGTCCAGTTCGAGAACACGAGTTGCCCACGCCGAAGCTCACATGACGCATCTGGTTCCACCCTCTCCCTGGCAACGGTACTTTTGTTTTTCTTGCCATCAACACCACCCTCATCATCGGAATGGTCCTTCTTCCGTTTCCTGGCATCCAACGTGCTCTTCACCATCCCTGAGATCGAAAGGCCTGCGGCTGCTGCCTCGGTTGTCTGTTTCTTGTAATCGGCAATCCACTGCATCACCAAACTCTGCAATGCCAAATCGCGTCCCATGTCGGCCAGGATTTGCTGAGTGTTGCGGGCGGAGGCCATCAGGACACCCTTCGCCAGCTCACCCGACGCCTTCGGCGCATCCTTAGAAGATCCAGCGCTCGACATGGCGAGCACGAAAATGGAAGAGGCGAACCAAGTAACAAGTGAATCGTAACTCAAGGACGTAATAGCTTGAGCCACGTCGAGAAATCAGATTCGACACTTCTGCCATCGTGGGCCCGGCGCGCAGGCCACAGACGGCTTCGAGAACGCCCCAGAAAAAGACCGCCGAGAGTCCGCATGCGACTCCAAGAGGCTCCAGGAGGGCCCCAAGAAGCTCCCATCAGTGCCCCAAGATCGGTCGCGCGAAAGAAGCTTCGCGCGACCGCTGTTGGAGGCGTCGCGGCGCCGTTTTGACGCTCTCCAGCGCCCTTCTGGGGATCCGTGGAAGAGCCCAAGACAACCCCGAAAGCACGCCAAGAGGACCCCAAGAGGGCATTAAGACAGCCCCCAGAAGCTTTTGAAAAGCGGTCACGCGAAGCCTCTTTCGCGTGACCGATCTCGGGACCCTCCGTGGGCGCCTCTTGGGACCTCCTCGTATTTCTCGGGGCCGCAGTGGGGCCCTCGCGGCCCTGCCGAAGAAGGCCGTCAGATGGCCCCAAGAGGGCCCCGAGGTGCCGAGAGACTCCCCGAGGGCCCTGAGAGAGCCCCGGGAACGCTGCGAAATCGGTCACGCGAAAGAGGCTTCGCGTGACTGCTTTTGAGAGCCTACTTGGATCGTCCTGAAGCCATTGGTCGCTCTCCCCAGGGCCCTCGACAACGTCTAATAAGGCTCCGAAAGCGCCCCGAGACACCCCGAAAAGGGCCGCGCGACGGCCCCGAGAAGGGCCCGAGAACGGCGGCGCGAAGCCTCTCTCGCGAGACCGATCTCAGGATCCGCTTGGGAGCCTTTCGAGGCCCTCTTCGAGCTTCTTGGAGCAATGTTGTAACTCTCTCTGCGACTGCTCAGGGCCTTCAGACGGCTCCAAGAGGACTTTGGGAAAGCTCCGAGGGTGCCAAAAGTCTCCGAAGGAGTTCTCGACAGGCTCCCTAGAGGGCCCCGAGATCGGTCACGCGAGAGAGGCTTCGCGTAAGCGCTTGTGGGGGCTTCTTGGACCCGTTATGGGGCTCTCTTGGGCCCGTTCGCAAAACCCTGGGACGAATCTAATATGGTCGATGGGGTCTGGGATGGATCCTTTGTTACATGGCGTACGGGGCCAATGGGTCGCGGGCGAGCTGGGGGCCGGGCAGGTCACGGATGGGTCGCAAGCGCTGCGTCCGCGCGCCAGCGCCAGCACTCTTGTCCGCACTCGTGGGGCGCTGCGTAAAATGCGTGATCATATCGTCCACCACTCCTCATTGCCTATCCCTCCTCAAAACCCCTTACAATCTTTTTCGCCCGCCGCCCCATGAATCGCCGCCCCCCCTCCCTTTGCCCCGCCGCCCTTCCCCCGAGTCTCCGAAGGTCCGCGCGCCGCAGAAGCGGCATTGCAAGTGGGGCAGATCATTGTAAATTGGAATTGGAAATGTAATCCTAAAGACACAGCCCCCCTGAACATCTGCCCGAATGAAGAATGCATCGGACGCCCAACGCAGGAAAAAGTCGACAACTTCGACAACGCCGACCGCGAATTCATTCCGACGAAGCGCCCGCGACGCGGCCGTCACCCGAGTCGACCAGAAGCGCCCGTCACGCCGTAATCTGGCGGCGCTGGACGCCAAAGCCGATGACGTTGCTACGCGACTGCTGCGACGAATGCGGGCCCCTGCAGAGCGCGCGCGACCCATTGGGCAACGACGATGTCAGTTCCAGCCTTTGCGACAAACGCCCGGTCAAGCATTCGCGCGTGCCCCGTGCGAACGCATGACATGCACGACGCGACGCGCGCACGGCAAGGAAGGCCAAAAAATAATGCAATGCAGGAAAAGGGCCCAATGTGGCCACAAACTGCGGGTTCCCAAAGTACCCGTTTGTAAATGCCCGTTTCGGTCCTGCTGACGTTTGCCCACGCGGACAGATCCGGTGGCGGCTGGCCGTTTTAATACCCCGCCTGCGACCTGTGCCGCCGGGCGCTTCAATACACGCTTGGTGACGGCCTGGGCGGATGAAGCCGCCGCCTGCACTGAGGGGCTCACCGACGCATACACATCGCACCACGGTCTCAACACTCCTCGGGACACCAAGACAGCTTTCCGTCGCATACGCAACGCGGCATGCAACGCGTGGTACTTCAGCCCTGGATATACCGCGCGCATGTGGTCACCAAGTGCCGCGTCGAGCTTTTCAGCCGTGTCATACTGCAAAGGTCCAGAGTCAGGGCGATACTTCACGTACCATTGCCTCAAAACCATACCGCTGACAGCGACGGGAGGATCGCTCTCCGAGAGAAGCTGCGAGAGGACCTCCGCGGCGGCCTCGTCGGCGAAGCTCTCCCGATACTGATTGAGTCGAAGACGCTGGCCTATACATTCCTCCACAGCTTGGGCAGTATTGAATGCTCCCTTGGCGCCCCACTCAGTGCTGAGCCACTTCTGGCATACCCTGGCGTCAGCAGATACAGATAAATGTCCCAGGAGCCACTGCTTCAAGACGGCCCCGTCAGTAGTCCCCTCGGGCATGTCTGTGCGAATACGTTCTCCATGCCAGGTCTCCAAATGGCCAGCGTTCTGCACTATGACAAGCGTCTCTTTGGAAGAATACTGCAGTAGCCACGCCGTTGCGACCGGATTTGACACATACAGTGGTGGATCCAACCGTCGGAGCGCCCCACATAATTTGAAAGCTGTATTATACTCGATGCCCAGATGGCGGATGGCAGAGCCGCGCTGCTCCTCCAGCTCCTTGGCGCTAGAAATACTGACCTTGCCAGGCACAACCCGATACTTGACCCGCCAAACCTTGCACGCCTGGTGACTGACCTGGATGCCCTTTGCAACGAGCGCCTGATGCAAATAAAACGGGCTGCCGCAGTCGGCCAAGGGAGGCCGCGACAGCTCTGGGCCATACTGCTCGTCAAGGGCTTTCGCCGACAAAGCCATGACCCATCCAAGAACACAGGCGATACCTGGATCCGAGATGGCTACGGATGTGACAGTGATCAGTGATTTTGTTCGATGACGTGGTGACACACTGAGTTGTTGTGGTACCATGCCGACAACGACGACGCGACGACGCGCGCATGTGTCCCGCATGCTATTTTTTGCAAGGGATCGTGGCCCCTGGCAGGCGCGCGAACGCCGTTGAAAGAGCTTGCGAAAACAGCTCGCGCGAGCTCTATAACATAAATGTTGAAAAACCATTGGTTTTTAAGGATTCGGACAGCGCGCGCGGGTAGAAATTTTGAAAATTCGTACAGATGTTTTCGAGAACCTACGGTGCGATTCGTATGATTTTATGTTGCGCGGTGCTAAAATTCCTAAGAAACCCAATGATTTTTGAAGATTTCGGCGTGCGCGCGCGAAGAAAAAACGAATGTGTCCCACATGGTATTATTTGACAGGGATGATGGCCCTGGCAGGCGCGCAACCTTTGTTGCAGAAGTTCGAAGCACGTGAAAAAGTTGCTCGCAAGAGCCCGTTTGACAGAAATGTTGAAAAAGTATTGGGTTTCCTAAGAAATCCGCAAGAGCGCGCGGGGTGAATTTTTGAAACCCTTTTTTTGAAAAACCATTGGGTTTTTCATGTTTTTATGTGAAAATCGCTACGAAGACTAAGGTTTTGGAAGGATTTCGTCTTGCGCGCGCGAATGTGCACTTCGTGTCATTTTTTGCAAGGGATTCTTGAAGTTTGGTCATGTTAGAACAAGAAATGTCCACTTTGCCTTATTTTTTGCAAGGGAAAACCGATCGTAACAACACAACCGGATCTGGTATACCCCGTTTTGCCTGAGACTTCCTCACGAAAATGATGAAAATGTGGCTGCGGCCTAGGCGCGGCGGGGGGGGCGCGCACCAGGGGTCCCAACAATAATTATTCTTTAGAATTAATAATGCTCAACAACAACAACAACAACAACAATCATTTTACCCGAACGCTCAGTGTTCTCCCCAGTGCCAGGGTTTTCTTGCGACACCAGCCAATGCCCCCACTTCGTGGGGGGGCCGTTCAAGCTCTACCAAATATCCAAACGACTCTTCGAGACCACCCACACCCAGCTTCCCGCCCTATGACGTTGGGACACTTCACTTCGTGGCGTGCGGACGACCCTGGCTACTACACTGGCGTGGGGTACACACCCACAGAGGTTGATCACATCTGTTACATATGATGTGGTACACGGTACACGTGAGATGGTACGCAGTGCCAAGATAGTTGGTCACATTTTTGGGGCAAATTCGTGGGGATGCGATTACAGAAGTACATGTGTTACACTGATGTTATACAGTCCCAAGGATGACGCATGCATTGCTCATAGACTCATGGCGCTATGATCCTAACTCTCAGTGCCCAACGCGCGCGTGCACAGCCAGACGGAGGGAGAGAAACACATGTATACAAGGTTCGTGACATACGCACGGTCCACCATGTTGTAAACGATCGCATGCACGGTAAGTTCTGAAATTATACGTATGTACAAGCAGACATGCGAGGGAGAAAGGGAGATGGCCATCGACAGTTCCAATACGGCTCCAAGGCGGAAGAGGGGGAGGAGGAGCAGGACAAGGAGGAAAGGAGAGAAGCGAGAAAGGAAGAACGCAGACGGCGCGGCTCTGGACACAAAGGGGTGCCATACTTTCTCCTGCTTTCGCAAACAGGTCCAGTCACACGTAGGGGTATACTCAACCGAATGGTCTTCGCAAAGCCCAGGTCGGAGACCTCCTCTCGATACCGCTTGCCGCATGCCGCCTCTACAGCATCCCCCGTCAGCAGCTTTATACAAACCACATCTGTGGAGGAAGAAGCTGCCGTGGCCTGCTGCTTCGATACGGGCTCCTCCCAGTCGACCGCGGCAGGCCGTTTGGCCACGCGGGCAGCTCCGGCGGCGGCTGGCCGTTTCAATGCCCCGCCTGCGACCTGTGCCGCCGGGCGCTTCAATACACGCTTGGTGACGGCCTGGGCGGATGAAGCCGCCGCCTGCACTGAAGCGCCCACCGACGCATACACATCGCACCACTTTCTCAACACTGAGCGGGACACCAAGACAGCTTTCCGTCGCATACGCAACACGGTATGCAACGCGTGGTACTTCAGCCCTGGATATACAGCGCGCATGTGGTCACCAAGTGCCGCGTTGAGCTTTTCGGCCGTGTCATACTGCAAAGGTCCAGAGTCAGGGTGATACTTCACGTACCATTGCCTCAAAACCATACCGCTGACAGCGACGGGAGGATCGCTCTCCGAGAGAAGCTGCGAGAGGACCTCCGCAGCGGCCTCGTCGGCGAAGCTCTCCCGATACTGATTGAGTCGAAGACGCTCGCCCATGCATTCCTCCACAGCTTGGGCAGTGTTCAATGCCCCCTTGGCGCCCCACTCCGTGCTGAGCCACTTCTGGCATACCCTGGCGTTAGCAGATACAGATAAATGTCCCAGGAGCCACTGCTTCAAGACGGCCCCGTCAGTGGTCCCCTCGGGCATGTCTTTGCGAATACGTTCTCCATACCAGGTCTCCAAGTGGCCAGCGTTCTGCACTTGGACAAGCGTGTCTTTGGATGAATACTGCAGTAGCCACGCCGTTGCGACCCTATCTGGCACATACAGTGGTGGATCCAACTGTCGGAGCGCCCGGCATAATTTGAAAGCGGTATTATACTCAATGCCCAGGTGGCGGATGGCAGAGCCGTGCTGCTCCTCCAGCTCCTTGGCGCTAGAAATACTGACCGTGCCAGTCACAACCCGATACTTGGCCCACCAAGTCTTGCACGCCTGGTGACTAGCATTGATACCCTTTGCCCGGAGCGCCTGATGCAAATAATACGCACTCTCGCAGTCGGCCAAGGGAGGCCGCGACAGCTCAGGGCCATACTGCTCGTGAAGGTCTTTCGCCGTCAAAGCCATGATCCAAGAACACAGGCGATACCTTGATCCGAGATGGCTACGGATATGTGCGTCAGCAGTCGGGGGCCTTCCTGGGGCCGCTTGGGGTCCTCTTGGGGAAGGGGGGAAGCCTCCTGGCGCGGTTTGGGGTCCACTTGAGAGCCTTTGGGGGGCTCCTTGGAACCATCTTGGGGCCTCTTGGGGGCTTATTGGACCCTCACGGCGGACTCTTGGGGCCTCTAGAACGCCTCCTGGGGCCATCTTGGGGGTCTCTTGGAGCCACCTTGGAGCCTCTCTGGAACCTCTTGGGGGCCTCTTGGAGTCCTCTTGAAGCCTCTTGGGACCATCTTGGGCGCCTCTTTGGGCCTCATGGACGCCTCTTGGGGCCATCTTGCGCGCCTGTTGGGGCCATCTTGGGTTTTAAAGATTCATCAAGAGACCGCGAATGGATTTCGAGATTTTTCGGATGAGAAAGTAGTGCGTTTTCATATGTTTTCTGAACATCGCATCTTGAAATTATTGAAAACCCATTGTGTTTGGCAGGATTTCGACATGCGCGCGCGGCGGCCGCGCGCATGTGCACTTCGTCTCATTTTTTGCAAGGGATGGTGGCCCTCGCAGGCGCGCAACCGTTGTTGGAGAAGTTCAAAGCACCTGAAGAAGTAGCACGCAAAGACCCTTTTGACAGAAATGTTTAAAAAGTGGTGTGTTTCCTATGAATCCGCAAGAGCGCGCGGAAGGACATTTTGACAATTTTTTCTTAAAAAACCATTGGGTTTTTGATGTTTTTATGTTAAAATCGCTACGAAACCTAAGGTTTTGGAAGGATTTCGTCTTGCGAGCGCGAATGTCCACTTTACCTTATTTTTTGCAAGGGATTCTTGAAATTTGATCAACTAAGAACAAGAATTTTCATTTTCTATTGTTTTTTGCAAGGGAAAACGAGCGTCAACAAAAAACCGGATCCGGGGGTAATCCACTTTTCTGAAGCTTTCGCAGAAAAATGATGAAAATGTAGCTGCGGCCTAGGTTTTGGGCGGGGGGCGTGCACCAGGGGGTCCAACAATAATAATTCTTTAGAAGTAATAGTGTTCAACAACAACAACAACAACAACAACAACCACCATGACAATGACAACGACAACGACAACGACAACGACGACAACGACAACGACAACCACAACTACAACCACAACAGATCGTCGGTCGGAGGTCTGGGCCTCCGGCCTCGGAGAATGCGCGTGCATGTGTGTGTAGGGGGAGGGGCCTCTGGCCGCCCGCCCCGCCGCGCGGACAAAGCGCGCCGTCGAGGGCCTCCTTGGGGTCTACTCGCACGCCTCGTCGGACAGCGGCGCGCGCTCCAGCAGGTCCCCCTCGTCAGCGCGAAGCAGGCTATGGCCGCCAGCCCTGCGGGGAAGACGCCGGCGCAACACCATAAGCCGCTACACCACCGATCATGGCGTGGTCCATCCTGGACCCTGGATCGGAGTCAACATAGCGCCTCCCTGGCCTCTCCAGGGGGGAAAGAGGGCGTGCAATTATACACAACTCCGGACCCAGGAGAGGCCTGGTCAAAACCTGTGCTGGTGCGCACGCAATCACAAACATGTAATTCGTGTTACTGCTTTCTCAATACGCGGCCCCGGGGCCCCCTTGACCCTTTAACTGGCTACCATTTACATGTTTCATCCGGGGCTGATTTTTACGGGACAGCATGGCCCTGCCTGCCAGCCAAGGTGGTTGTATACAGACGCCTCCTGCGGAGAAAGGCCTCCGTTCCCCTCGTTGACAAACCGCTCGTGTTCAGTGGTTCGTAGCGTGCCATACCCCAACTTCCATATGGCGACCCCAATGCCCATATGGCGACCCCATATGCCCAATGGCGACCCCAATGCCCAACTTCGTTGAGTTTTCGGCTGAACAACGGAGTGGGGCCAAAATCGGTGATATACGATGGGGGCGGGGACGTCCACTCGACCAGGGGTTGATGAACCTCCGAGCTTGTCCTCTTGTCTGAGCGGGGACTGGGGAGAACAACCGCCTGTGGCAACTGGCGCTCCCCTGGCCTGCGCCCCCGGGCCCACGCAGCAACCGCGGCCGCGACGGCCAGCGCGGCCGGCACGGCAGCCCACACCCAGGCCGCCCGCGGCGAATGAACGCCAGCACCTCCCGGGCCCTCGGCGCGCACGGACTCCTTCATGATCGTGGCGACGCTGCCCTGCGTGCTCGCGCCCGCGCCTGAGCACGTGTAGAAGCCTTGCGGCGGGACGCACTGGCTGTACGACGGGCCCGCCAGGTCCGTGCACGTGCATCCCGCCTCGCAATGGGCAGGGGGGCCTCCACGCTGGGGGTGATCTGGAAGTATCTGGCGATCCTCGTCTCTGAAAGCCCCGCGGGACAGCAGGAACTCTGGTAAGTCTTGGAAGGGATCGTTGTCATGACTTCCTGCATTCATGTCCACCGATTTGGAGACGTTCCCCCGAGGATCTCGCGGAGCTTCGGATGTAGACAGGTTTTGCTCACATCCAACGTTTTTTTCGAGATCCTTCGGGGCTCGTCTCTGGATAGGGGGGTCACTACATACGAGCACCTGGCGTGGAGCACGCATGAATGAGGAGGACGATGTCGCGTGTCCTGGCCGAGGGCGCCCTCAGGATTACATGGAGAGACACCCACGGCTTCCAGTGCACCCCTCACGAAGCCCAGGGGTGATGAACAAGACGACACCGATACCGCTACTCCCCGGAACTCTCCCAGGGTAAGTCATGGCAAGAATTTCGACGAGGGACGGGCAGCGGCATCGGGATCCTTTGCCTCCTTCAGAGAGGGTCCCCAGGGTCTCCTAAACGGTCCGAATAGCTGGACGCGCCCTGGGCCAGAAGCAGACTCGCAGAAGAAAAATGTCACCCTTGCGGCAGAAGGCCACGAGCAGCTTTCAACAAGGGCCCTGTCCTGCAGTCCACATCCTGACCTTCACTACATCTACAACGACTACTCTCTGACTATGATGACTACATCTACGACTAGAACTACAACAAAAACTACAAAAACTACAACTACCCCAACTACAACTGCTACTATCATGATTACTGCTCCTACTCCTACTCCAACTCCAACTCCTACTACTACTACTACTACTACTACTACTACTACTACTGCTACTGCTACTACTACTACTACTACTACTACTACTACTACTACTACTACTACTTCTTCTACAACTACTACAACTACTACTACTACGACTACTACTACTACTACTACTACTACTACTCCTACTACTCCTACTACTCCTACTACTCCTACTACTCCTACTACTCCTACTACTCCTACTACTCCTACTCCTACTCTTACTCCTACTCCTACTCCTACTCCTACTCCTACTCCTACGCCTACGCCTACGCCTACTCCTACTCCTACTCCTACTCCTACTCCTGCTCCTACTCCTACTCCTACTCCTGCTCCTCCTCCTCCTCCTCCTCCTCCTCCTACTACTACTGCTACTACTACTACGACTACGACTACGACTACGACTACGACTACGACTACGACTACGACTACTACTACTACTACTACTACGACTACTACTATTATTACTACTACTAACTACTACTACTACTACGACTACTACTACTACTACTACTACTACTACTACTACTACTACTACTACCACTACTACTACTACTACTACTACTACTACTACTACTAGCAACAACAACAACGACGACGACGACGACTACTACTACTACTACTACTACTACTACTACTGAGACTACTTCTACTCAGATTAGTTATCGTACTACAACAACTACTACTAATTCTACTAGTACGACTAGCTGCTCCGACTACGAACACAGCTGCGACTGCGGCTACGACGGCGCTGCAGGGATGCCTGCTGCCTGCGCCTAATACTACTACCACTACTACTGCCACTACTACGACTACTACTACTACTACTACTACTACTACTACTACTACTACTACTACTACTACTACTACTACTACTACTACTCCTACTAGTACTACTACTACTACTACTACTACTACTACTACTACTACTAACTACTACTATACTACTACGCTACTACTACTACTACTGCTACTACTACTGCACTACTACTACTGCACTACACTACTACTACTACCACTACTACTACCACCACCACCACCACCACCACCACCACCACCACCACCACCACCACTACTACTACTACTACACTACTACCCCCTACCACTACTACTACTACTACTACTACTACTACTACTACTACTACTACTACTACTACTACTACTACTACTACTACTACTACTACTACTACTACTACTACTACTACTACTACGACTACTACTACTACTACTACGACTACTACGACTACTACTACTACTACCTACTACTACTACTACTACTACTACTACTACTACTACTACTACTACTACTACTACTACTACTACTACTACTACTACTACTACTACTACTACTACTACTACTACTACTACTACTACTACTACTACTACTACTACTACTACTACTACTACTACTACTACTACTACTACGACTACTACGACTACTACGACTACTACGACTACTACGACTACTACGACTACTACGACTACTACGAACTGCCCCAAGATCTAGAAGAGAACGCGTTTCGTGGGCGCTTGCATGGGAAACCACGTGGACCCGTCGGAACCAGGGGAAGCCGCCCCCACCCCTAAACAGTTGGCGCGCCTGTGGAATCGTGGACGGCCCCCCCCCTGGACACCAGCGCCCCAAGAGGTTCCCAAGGCAGTCCGAGGCCCCAGGAGGCTCCCACTCAGTTCCAAGAGGCCAGAAGAAGCCCCAGAGAGGCCCCCAAGAGGCCCCAGCAGGCCTCACAAACTCTCTAAGAAGCCCGAAGAATCCTCCCAAAGAAGCGCATCTTGACGACTACCCTGTTTGGCCCCAAGAGCGCCGCAAGACGTGATCGAGAGGCTTCCTCCGCCTCCTCCTCCTCCTTATCCTACTCCCCCTACTTATCTTCATCCTCCTCCTCCTCCTCCTCCTCCTCCTCCTCCTCCTCCTCCTCCTCTCCTTCTCATCCTGTCTTCCTCCTCCTCCTCCTCCTCTTCCTCCTCCCCTCCCTTTTCCCGTTCTCATCATCCTTCTCTTCCTCGGCGGCGACGCATTGGCTCCGAGCCCGCGGCGAAGCACCAGCGACCATGCAACATGAACTGGCGGAAAGACCGAAGCGATTGAACAACATCCTACCACATTCTAGTACAGCTGGATCCAGCTCTTATAGGATCCTACCTAGGCTCGATCCAGCTCTAATATAATCCTGCGAAGGGGGGCACTTCAGGCCCCCCATCCCGTTCGACCCCCCCCCCCAGCGTCCACAAAACGCGATCTTTCGTAGCTATCTCGCTAACTGATGAACTAGCGTGCAACAACAATGCGACTGTGACGAGCTACTGATGCTGCTTCTAGTTCTGCTACCGAATTCTAGCACGACTACTGCTAGTCCAAACTAATACTCATACGTAGGTCGTCTACGACGCCTAGCAATGCTACTACTACAAGCAATCTGGCACGACTCTTTATTGTAAGAATGAGCCAGCGCGGACCCATTCCAGTGATTCGTTGAAACCTGTGCGACGCAATCTAGGTGGTGCAAGGAGCGTGGTCCAATCTAGTGGGTGCACTCTATGTGGAGCAAGGCAATGCAATGCAATGCAAGGCAATGCAAAGTAACATAAAGGTATGCAGCGCAGTGACAAGCAATGCAAAACAATGCAACTCAATGAAACGCAATGCAACGCAACGCAAAACAATGCAACGCAATGCAGCACAACACAGCGCAGTGCAGAGCACTGCAAAGCAACGCAATTCAATACAAATATATGCAATACGTTGCAACGCAATGCAATGCAAAACAATATAAAGCGATGCAATGCAAAGCTGCAAAAACCCATTCAAAGCCATTCACAGCAATGCAACACATTGCAAGGCAATGGAATGCAATGCAACGCAATGCGATCGCAAAACAGTGCGAAACAACACGATGCATGTTGATTGCAATGCAGCGGGGGAAGGGATGCAACGGGGCGGCGGCGACGGGTGGGAACGGGGCCGCCAGGGCGGCAAACGGGCCTTTCATTTGGAAACATGAGGTGCGGCGACGGAGGGGACGGGGCCGCCGGGGCGGCAAACGAGCGCAGCTCCTTAGAAGGCAAGCTAAATCAGAACGCCTAAGTGCAAGACCTGTCTAGAGAAAAACGATTACGACTACAAATGCACACGCGGATAAGAATATTATCACTCATACCCATACTCATAATAAACCGAATGCTAAAACTGTACGGGTGAGGCAACGGAATTCACAGGAGGGACAACAGGAGACAACGGGACCCTCCCCGCTTCCAGATCGGGCCATGCTCAGAACATGATGGAAAACACATGTATACAAACTGTTTCGGCACACTCCAAACACATGTTAACCTTCGGAGGTTCACGAGATGTCTTGGATCGGCGCTGGACCCCTCATGCTTATGAAAATTATTTTTTTCGACTATGGTCACCCCCGAACTTGGGGCTGAGGGCCGCCTCGCAGCATGTGGCCCCAAACCATCCCGCGCCCCCGCACTGCTGGAAGACCGCGGAACAGCCGCCCGCGCCCTCCACCTCCACGCCCGCTGGCGCTGGCGCCGGCGCGGGCCACAAATGCCCAGGCTGCTGCGGCTGGATGCCGCTGGTCTCTGCCGTCGGCTGCTGCGGCTGGGGCCGCTGCGGCTGGGACTGCTGCGGCAACGGCTGCTGCGGCTGGGGTTGCTGTGGCTGCGCCTGCGCCGCCACGCCACCGCTGGCGGGGCTGGAATGGAAGCCGATGGCCTGGACCTGGTCCGGCTTCTCGCCAGCGTCCGCGGCGTACGTGGAGCCGATGTCGCCGTACATGATGTTGTAATACGTTACGGAGGCGTCTGGGTACTTCGCGCGGACGTCCGCGGGCGCGCCAGTTGTCTTCTCGCAGGGGCCGCGCGCGACTCCCGGGGTGGACCGGTCACCCTTGCCCATCTCGGAATCAAGCCACAGCATCTCGCACTGGTTGTCGTCCCACAGGGACAGCACGAGCGTCATGCCACGTCGCAACGCCTCGCCCGTCTGCTTCAGGGCCTTCTTCTTCCCGAAGTCATCGGGGTCATTGAACGCTTTCTTCTGGGCAGAGCAGAAATCATCGGTGATCGAATCGCCGCCGTCTTTCCCAAGGATGGTGGCATCGGAATTCTTAATCACCTTGCCACCCTGCACATACAGCCGCCTGACCTCTACCAAATCTCCAT